GAGCATGACGTCACATGGTATGGAATGTCCCTTTGGCCAGTTTGGCTGTGCCCCCTCCCAGCTTCTTGTGCACCTCCAGCCTTCTCAGTCAGTACAGCATGGGAAGCTGAAAAGTCCTTGACTAGTGTAAGCATTACCTAGCAACAACTAAAACATCGGTGTGTTATCAATGTTGTTCTCATCCTAAACCCAAAACACAGCACTGTACCAGCTACTAGGAAGAAAATTAACTCTATCCCTGCCGAAACCAGGACACAGGACAACAAAGTTTTCTCCATTGTGAAAAGATCCTGGCAGCTCTAGAAAATAGGAGACAAAGACCTTGCAACAGCCAAGCTTTTGGTCCAATGGCTAAAACAGAAACCTGGCAAATACATTGCTTCAGGTGGAAATGACAAAAAATTGTGCTCAGATTTTTGATGAATTAAAAAAAAAAATCACCCAGAACTGATTTTTCACAGTGTATTTTTAGTCCCAAACTGGAAACCTACAGCTCTTCAGGGAGTATGGATATCATTGATGAAAGGGGAGGAATATACAGACAGAGGTTTGGGGAATTTGGGGGAAGCAGAGCGCTTGCTCAAGACTTCTGTGTGTCTGATTTCCAGTGATGCCTCTGATAGAGGTCTTCTACACTTTTCTCACGTTAGAAATCCCTCCTGGGGAGACTCTGGCTTTTATCCTTTATGTGATATTTTATTGCTTTCTCTCCCCTTCATTGCCACGCTTAATCCTGCCACATGTCTCAGCAGGATCTCCAAAATCCATTTCCTTTCTGCTACATCCTGGGCAAACAGTTGTTGGCATTGACTACTACACAGCTTGCTCTGTTGCTTCCCTCACATGTCATTCTCCAATAGGGTTCACAGCCTTTCTCACATGTTTGGAGATGTTCTGCAGATGAGCACTAGGTTGTTTCTGTTCCTGGCCAGTCCAGCACTCTCACAGTAATATTGTCACCTGCAGGTGCCAAACACACTGAAAAGTTAAATCCGCCATGCAGAGAGGCTGGGTTGGCGAGGGGCTGGGACTTGTCACTCAGAAGACAGCCTCATGCAAAGAGCAGAATTAACATTTATTGATACGTATTTTAACTTATCAACACAGAATATGCTGAAGGAAGAAGGAAACATTAAAGATAAGCCATGAATAATTGTTCCCTTCAGGAGTGGGCCAAGCACACTCCACTGAATGCTCTTCTTTCAAATTCTGCTCCAGCGATTTGTAGGACCGGTATCCTTTCATGAAACAGAGAGAGGGCCTTTTCTGCACCATTGAGACATCAACTCGACAAGGAGTCAAAGAAAGTACTGGAGGACGAGGGCACCCATCTATGAAGGAGGAGAGTGAAACAGGGCACAGTATGTCCTTGACACCAGCCTGAGAGAGTTCATCCAGGACTGATCTTCATCTTGGAAAGAGATGCAGGGGCACAGGCTGGAAACTGAGATCCTTCAAAGCTGGGATTCTGTGGCAGGTTTGCTCATCCTACATTGCAAGATAAAGCATTTGTGTGGGTTCACACCAGCTTTTCATCAGTCCTTTCATGAGTTGCCCTTTCTCAAGGATACTCCTTCAGGTCCTTCATCCAAAGTGCAATTTCCTTCCTCAGATAAATTTGATTGCCAGTTCACAAATTCGATAGCAACTTGTGAAGCAAAGGATGTTATTCCAGTTACTGAAAGTGTTGGCGTCTGTGTTTCCCTTGACATGAATTGCAGCACATTTTTCTGCAAAGAGTAAATTGGGTTCCCCGGGTTTCCAGAACCTGTAAAATAAAGTTCCTCCATTGGGAATGCACTGGTATGCATGACAGTGGGAGGAAAGTCACCTCAGACAGTTGTGGAAGAGAAAGGAGAAGATTTCTGTAACAGAGATCAGGAGCTCTGGCAAGGCAAAGAATAGTCATGATTTTGACTAGAAAACTAGTCAAGTTTTCTGACTTATAGTGCAGTTCGGGCCAGAGACCCCTCTCTGACATATATCTGCCTTACACAGTGTATTGGTCACTTGGACTGAGGGATGTGAATTATAGGACCTTCCTCACTCCCCCCAGGATACTCACGTGGCTGCCTTCTTATATGGAGTCTGATCCACCCACTGCCATTGCCCATTTTCGTAAGCAGTTAAGCCTATGTAGTATTTTGTTTCATAGGCTTTAGTAAATACTCCTTTCACCAAGTTGAAGAGGAACTCCTGGAAAAAGTACAATGTCCATGAGGTGCAGGACTAAGCAGAGGGAGGAGGCAGGAGTCCCTGTGGGGTGGGGCTGGTGGCAGAGGGAAGCAGAAACGAAAGCCACCCAGAAAGGACATCCCCCCTCCCCTGCAGGAGCAAGGAGGGCCTCTGAGTGCCCTCCAGGGCCTGGCACTGTGTCTCTGGCTGCTGTGCCCCTCTCTCAGCCCTGCACGTACCTGCTCTGCTTTGCTGTTGATCACCACCAGGTGGGAGCCCATCCCAGTGCAGTTCTGCACACTCTCAGCCCAGGGCATCTTGTCATCTGACACGTAATAGCAGCTCTTTTGGAAGTGTTTCCAGCCCTTTGGGCAGCACGTCCAGCTTTCCTCTGTGGGGGAAAAAAAATCCCCCTTTTGAACAAGATGTGCTGTCCTTCATCTTAGTGAGCTCAGTGTAGGGTGCCAGTGTTAGGGGACGGGTTTGAACCACACTTTTAATCTGGAGAGAGGTAAATGCTCTCTCATCTTGTCATCTGACACGTGATAGCAGCTCTTTTGGAAGTGTTTCCAGCCGTTTGGGCAGCACGTCCAGCTTTCCTCTGTGGGGGAAAAAAAATCCCCCTTTTGAACAAGATGTGCTGTCCTTCATCTTAGTGAGCTCAGTGTAGGGTGCCAGTGTTAGGGGACGGGTTTGAACCACACTTTTAATCTGGAGAGAGGTAAATGCTCTCTTCCAAGCTCCACAAGTAAAGCTGTCAACAGCCTGACAGGCTCCTGTCACAAGGCTCCTGTCACAAGGCCCCTGCCTGAAGTGCCTTTCCCTTTCTCTATCTGTTCTGCCATGTCCATGCAACCCCTGTTTGGTGAGAGACAGAGTTTCTGCCTTACCCTTCCTGAGGAAGCGAGATGGGAAGTAGTTGTCTTGTGATCCTTTGGGAACACTTCCATCAGAGAAGTGTTGTCCAAGTGTTTAGCTCTCAACTCATGCAGACTGACAGACATGTACAGTAAACTGCTCTGACAGCCTTGCTGCCACCACAGGCAGTTCCTTACACTAGCCAGGTTTTCCTGGAGATCTGCCTTATAGCCAGAAAGTCACATGACGGATTAAAAAAACACGGTTATATTATCTCAAATCATGAGGCTACATGCTTTGGGGCTATATATCTGTATCTATGAGCTCTATATATTATACTCTGAATATATCTCTGTATAGAATACATCAGGCTGAAAAGTTCATCCAATAAAGTCCACAAATACACCCTTGTATATGCTACCTTAGATGCTTGCTCTGAATCTCAGACCTCACAGGGACTCTCTTCTTAGGTTTCCCAGTCAGGAGCTCTTTAGGGGGTTGCATGCGGTGACAATGCCCTGGTCAAGCCAATGTTCCAGCCCACCCACAGCAAGCAAGCACATCATATTCATACTACAAGGTGGACCCAGATAGCCCTGTGCCCTTCAAGAGCTGTCTTGATGGCACAGAATCTCACATCCCATTCTTGGCACCAAATGGAGGGAGTAGAGTCCAGTGACTGGAACAGCTAGCAAAACTTTTGTTAACCTACCTGTGCTCTTATATATTAGATCCACTCAAGGTGCACCATTATGTACCTTTGTAGAAAGAGAGACCATGGCACTAGAGAACATGAGAAAATATGCAAAATCAAGTCCAAGCAGTCCAAGGAGCTTGGAGCTCTCTGTCTCTGTGCTGCCCACCCTGATCTTTCACTGAACTGCTGGAGCATGGCCTGTAGCCATCAGGTACTCTGCAAAACTTTTCCATCCGTTCCCAATTCCCCAACAAAAGCTGAAGTTTTCCCACATGACTAAGAAATGCTGGACAATTTCTTCTGAATTCTTAAGTGTGTTGGTTGGGAGAGTCTGTCTGCTGTTCAATGGACATGCTTGTGCCTTGTGGAGCTAGGCAGGCTTTTTTTAAGGGAACACCAAATTAAGCATGTGTAGAACATAGCTTGTCTGGCCTTCCATAAATGTCCACCATAAGAATAGGTAGACCATGCCTATTTTATACTGCAAACACCTTTTTATCATGGACTGTAAAGGGAGTCTGAACAGCTAGCTCAGATGTACTCAACATGTAGGGGTTAACCTTTGTGCAAACTGCAACCTGTTTCTGAATGCAGTGCACAGGTGAAAACAGATCTCTGAACCGAGTTTGGGAATTTGCACTGCAGGAATTGCCATTGCCATCACTTCATGTGTGATTGCAGCCTAGCTCTCCAGCTACTCTAAACTGCATAACAACATGCTCCTTCCACTCCTACCTCTGTCCCTCGCACTGACCATGATGCTTGTGTGAACAGGCAGTGAGCCAGCAGCACAGGGAATGGAGCTGGATTGAGCCAGCCCTTGCAAAAGGATGAAGCACTTTCAGCTAGATTAATGAACTGGACTAGCAGTTGAGGGGTTGTGTGAGGGCCAGCGAGAGGGGAAGAGTAGGAAGGGTGGTCAAAGGTAGGTCTGGAACAACACACCCTCTTCCCCTGGCCCAGAACATGTTTTCATAGCATCCTAAGTAAAATTGTGTAAATGCAATACAGCATTTTCTTTCCTCAATTCTCCAGCTTCCTTGCTTAAAACAATCCAGCTCTGGCTGACAATCACATTCCCAACCTCAAAGGCTGACTGACACCAGAGTAAATATTGCTGAAGTCCTTAGTGTTGCTTATGAGGCTCTTAGCATCACTCACTTTTGCCTGCAGATACACTGGGGACGCAGCACCACCCCGTAGCGTTCTGGAGCAGAGTCTTGTACTGGCCATAGCTTCCGTGAAGGAAAACAACTGGGAGGAGAGGAAAGAGAAGGAAAGTGCTAGTGTCATCCTTTCCTCCTCATTCATGAGCAACCTGTCCTATCCTCCACCTTCTGGCTTAGAGCCCCCCAGAGACTCTGTTACGTAACAAGATCTGAAATCTGTACTGAACAAGGAGATGAGAAACAGCAGGCTGTTTCTCCCACTACTGGTCACTCCTTCCTTTAAACAGACATTAGTCGGATGAGCTCCTCTCACCTCTGCTGGCTGAGAGACTCATTTTCCCAGCTGACAAAACCAGCTTAGACATCCTTTGAGGATGGGGTCAGGAAAGGGTCAAAGAAGTCATGGGATAAGCTTAATAAAGGTGGAATATAAATATACAATCCCTCTTAATCTTCCTGGGCATTGCAGCTTTAGAGCACCATTTTTACCCTTATCAAGAAGGGGTAGAACTGTTGAGTGTTGAGGCTTCCCCCCAAGGGAGTTAAGAAGAAGCACAAAAGAGCCATCACAGAGCGATATGATACTCCAGGACAGTACAAGCAAAGGATTTCCCTTTTGGTTAGTCTGGGCAGTGTGGGTAGGATGCAGCTGGAGCATTTTGATGGATTCACCCCCTCCCTGCTAAAATATGGGCAGCCTGGTACCAGTATTTCCAAGGAGATCACACTGGCTCCTTGGCTGCAACATTGTCACAGGGACCTCTGAGAGAGAGACCAGGTCAGGACAACCAACATCCAACAGCCAGCCTTTGGGGAACCTACTCAGATGCCCTCTGACACTAACGAGACTTCTCAGCTCTTGGTGGGAGGGGAGAAACTGACTGGTTTCATCCAGGACTGGCTTTATTCAGGCAGGTGGGAAAGTGAGAGGAGCAGTGGGAAGGCCCTGCCAGGGAACGAACCTTAACTGTGGAAGGGACCCTACTCCCTGACTAAGAGGGCAGAGGCGGGAGAGGGGCAGCAGAACAGGCTGTTTTGGTGAAGGGCATTTGCCTGCTGGCAGGGAGACTAGGATATTGTTTTTCCATCTGACAAAAGGCAGTCAACTGCTCCCTTCATCCCAGGGGAATTAAGAGATCCTGGAACCCACCAAGGCAGATGGTTACAAAGGCAGTTTTGATGGCAAGGACAGAAACAAGAAAGACCCAGGGGTTCAGCCAGGAGCAGCTTCTCTCTTCTGCTGGAGCTGAAAAACACAAGGCAAGAGTGGGAATCCCCCAGTCCAGAGTTGGGGCCAGGATAACCCAGGTGGCTCTGTACCCCAACAACCTGCTGGTACCCTTGTTCCAAGGACTGGGGAGCCCCACAGGTGCTGTAACCAGGTCCTGCTGCCCATCATTAGCAGTGGGTCAGACACACAGAGTTGGGCAATACGGGGGCTGCCCTGAAGCTGCTTTTTTATTTCACTTTTTATCACAAGCCCTGCCTGTACTCTTCGCAAACTGCACTCCTCCTTTCTTTGTCCTGTCACACCTTCTTTCTCCTCAACATATCTTCCTTGTTGCCCTCCATTACCCCTGTCTTTCACTGAATGCACTTTCGATACCTCCCTCCTCTTCATCTCTCTTTAGAGCTTCCTTCTCTCAGCTACCTTTATTTTGGCTCTATCCCCCAAAAACCCTTTTATGCAATAGCATATAGTCACTCAAAGGAGTGACTGTCCAGCTCAGTCTTTGCAGAGGCAGACACACAGCAGAGACTGTTTCCACTGGGAGAACAAGCACTTTGAAGCTCTTGGGAGACCCCTTGCTTGGTTCTCCTTAGAGACACCAGAGATGGGAGCAGTGACTTGTGCTTAGCTTGATGCAGATAGGATAGCACTCTTCAGTCCCATTGTTTACAGAAAAAACACTGAAGAGGATGGCAGACCACAGTCTGCCTGGACTTTCATTCCCCCTGGCTCTGGGAAAAAGGTCATTCTCCCAGGCCGGGCACTCCCCAGTTCCCTCGTCTGTTGCTTTGCTCTTGTCCTAAGCCCCTTCTCCTGGTATGAGGCCAGCCATTGTACCATGCCCATTATCTGTATTTTCCCCCACCTCCTCCTTCTTCTACAGGAGGACAGAAAAGAAGGCTTTGTGGTTACCTGCAGTTCCAGGACTGACTCTCCCTCGGTGATTCATTATCTCTACCACAGCATCACTGTTCTCCACCAAGAGTCCAGATTACTAATATGGCCACGAATACAGCCTTCCTCCTGCACAGAAGACTGCACTAGGGCATCTCCCACACTGGTGAGGAGCCTTCACAGTCTCTAATCTGGTGTGCAGAAAAAGCCGTATCCTGGGTGTTCCCCACAGCACATGGAGATGGGGGAATTTTCATCATTTCTCTGCCAGGACATTTCACAAGATGCTCATTGCAACACAGAAACTCACAGAGGCAAATGAAAACAGATGAAGAGTAGCATCATTCCAGCTCAAACAACTTCCTTTTGCACATATTCAAGCAGTTTCACAGGACATACTACCGGCCTTACCTCTTTGTTGTTTGTTCTTCCCTGGTGAGTATGTGTGTGAAAATGCCTATGCTGTTGGTATTTGTTAACAAAGGGCTAAACCCACTCACAACGTCCTGCTAAAGGGCCTAAAAAAAAGGGCAGGAAAGCATATCTGTGGCACGGTCTGGGCAAGTCCCCATGTGAAGCCCGAGCCCAGTAACCCAGAGTACAACAAAGAACTTGCCAACACTGTTTTTAACTAATTGCTCATAAAAAGAGGATGGAGCTTTGAGTGGAGGGCTTGCATATGACCTGTTATTGTGGAGCTGAAGGTCAGAAGGGATCACTAGACGGTGCCAGAATCCCTGTGCCTTACAGATCATGAAGTTTTACTTGGTCACAATTACAAAAGGCACAGTCATACGTGGTGGTTCTAGCACTGCTCAAGGCGACTTGATTCAAAACCCTGCAGGATAAAGTGTCCCTAAGGATACCACTAAGGATAAAGAATTCCTACTGGATCTCATTGTACTCTGAATGGACTGGGGTGGGTATGCAGCCTTTGCTCTTCCATGTTCCATCACCTAGTTTCTTCCCTGTGAAGAGGCATGCATGGATGCACTGAGGAAGGCGTGGGATAGCTAATGCAATAGCACAAGCATATCAGTTGAAGTCTCAAAAGAGCAGGGCACAAAACTGGTTACAAATGAGGACAAGCCTAAATTGTATGTAGAAAATATCCTCTGAGTGTGTTTTTTCGTGCACAACAGGCTGCAGGCAGGGTCGAACCATCCAACAGCTCTGTTGCATTGGAAAGATGGTCCATACATGTGCTTGCTGGTATTGTCGTAGAAGGGATGAGCTACTAGAAGGCACTAGTTACTGGATTCACAGCTCAGTGAGAGATTCTCAACTGACATTTTAAAAAGTTCCCAGCCATCATGCTGGAGAACAGAACTGAATTGCACCACAGATGCCCAAAAATGAGAATATGTTGTATTTGTTATTGCTCTAAAATATACCTGCTTTTGTGCATATGGGTGGGAAGCTGACTTCGGCTGATCAGTATGGAGAATGCAGAGGGTGCAAAACTGTCAGAAGGAAAATGTACTCAGTTCATGTGGTTTAAACCTAATCAGAATCAAAAAGCAGTTTACCGATTTATTCATGACATGTAATTAACTGACAAACCACTACCTGTATATTCAGGATCAGTATCAGCAGATATCTACTAATCCAACAGATAAAGCAAAATACCAGACACAAAATATTAAGACACTTACAAATTTCTAAATGTCTTTGCATAACTAATTCCCAAAAGCTCTAACCCCACATACACACACATTCACATGATTACTTGTGCAACCTCCCACCCCTGCCACAGGAAGTGCACACTGCAAGAACACATCCCCTTTTCTGGGAGCAGGGGTTCCCCTATTCTCACGCACTTCGAGCTGGAGATGTAGGGTTCATGTGTATCCACCCCACTTCCTACAGTCTGCCAACCCACAGGCCAGTGAGAAAGCACAACGTCACATATGCACACTGCAGTTGTGGGTCTGTACATGTTGTGCCCCTTACTGCCAGGAATGCAGGCTACCCACGGCATCCAACAGGGAGGATGCTCTGTTACAGACAGAGGTTGCAAAGTTGCAGGGCAACTGTCAAACCAGATTTTGACTGCCGCTTCCTTCCCACTTCTCTCTCCTCTCTCTGTTAAAAATGTTCTTGCTTATTCTAAACTTTTTTTTCAGACTGATTCTTCTCTTTCTCAAAAGACTTTCACTAATTCCCTGGTTACTATTAAGCCAGTTGAAGGTCATGTTCTTCTTTAACAATAGTGGGTTTGGGACAAATGTCCTCTCAGATAGTTTCAGGTATTCAATTCACAAAGCTTTTTACATTCACATTCCTGTTTTATCAGTTGTTGCTATCCAGGCCATTTGACCAAGATGAAGGTCTGTGCAAGCACCCTCAGGTGAAGCACTTCGGTGCGTGCACAGGGTCTAAAGCAGAGAGACAGCAAACGATTTTCTTTTCAGCATCACAAACCAAGCTACTGTTCCCAGCAAATCAACTGACCTCACAACATTCAGGTGACTAACAGCTCTGTCCCACTCTGGGATAAAGAGTCTCAAAGTGCTGACGGTAGCCAAACTCTGCACTGGCCTGCACAGAAACTCCTTAGTAGTCCTGGTGCCAGGCAGCTGGGACCAGTGATGGGAGAGGTTACCTCCTCAGTGGAAGGCTCTGGAACCATTGCAAATATCTTATATTTCCAAAATGGCAGGAACTTATTTCTCTTTCCTGCTCCATAAACACCAGCAGCATGCTTGGGGAGAGCATGTATCAATGACCTCAGTCTTCCTGTACATCTTTCCACAGTTCTGTAAGTAAAGATTCTCAGCTCTTTTCTACCTGCTCCAGTCATGAAGAGCTTCACAAGTGACCCTTGGTTATTTCACTTCACAAATACATGTGTCAGATCAGTGTGCTGGGACAACAGAGTGGCACCTGGCAGTGCAGAATTGCTAGGGGCTCCTGCCCCTGAAGACAGTGGTACTTGGTTACAACAAGTGCACTCCTAGAAGAGGCACTGGAGAACCTTGAATCTACTTTCACAGACCCTTGCAGTATAGACAAGAGTCAACAAGCATGTCATGGATACAGACGAGGTCAATGGGACATGAACTAAGGAAAATATTGCAGTTACAGGGTATCTTGCAGTACTCAAGGTTGCAGGAGAAGACATGGAATGCAACTTCCCTCAGAGGTACTCAGGATCTGAGAAGCTGAAAGCCAGAAGCTGGAAGATAAAACTTCATCAGCTTTTCTGCAAAATTATACCACAAAAGAAATTAGTTGCAGTTCCTATTTAAGAGGTGGAAACACAGCGAACCACATGTTGGGAGCACTGAAGGTGCCTGGTTCTAGAAGCAACCAGCCACCTGAAGCAGGATGGAGAATACATGAAAGGGTTCCAAGCACCAACAAAGAACAGCAAGTGTGCTCATGTTCAGAAATGAACTCATTGGATCTAGTTAACTCATTCTCAGGGCATGATGGCAGTTTCTCCATCAACTTGAATCCCCTGGGGAGTCCTGTTTTCCAGTTTTCTTGAATTCAGAATGATTTGAAGAGAAAGACTTATCTGTAACAGTCAAATAAAGGCAAGTAGTCTAGAAGGGAATACTGACAATGTGAAAGGCAGAAAACACAGAAGTGCTACCAGCTGTGACAATACAGGAAGAGAGACTTAATCCCACAGGAAGTTCTTCCCAACGTGCCTGTTTGCTTTGCACTTTCAAGGACCGAAGACCAGCTCCACAGTCCTGAGCCCCAGCAGTATGTATGAGAGTGCAGCTAACAGAGGCAGCCAGCAGGCTTAGCAGTTTGAGCAGCAGTTTCTGAGCTTTGTTTTCAGCAGCAAAGTACAAGCAATCCAGGAGGTTTCTGGAGTGCCTTGATTATAACTTCCTGGCGCAGGTTATGGAGGACCTGATGAGGAGATGTGCTTTACTGGCTCTCACACTTTGAAATGAGGAAGGACTGGTTTGGGATGTAAAGGTTGGGGGTGGGCTTGGCTGTGGTGACTATGAGATGTTCAGGATCTTGTGAGGAGGGAGCAGGGCAAAACCCAGGATCACAACCAGAGACTTCAGGAGAGCAGACACTGGACAATTTGAGGATCTGCTTGGAAGACTCCCATGGGAACACTCCCGCGGGAAGACTCCCGCTTACCTGATTTGCTTCTGTATCGATCACTACGATCTGGGAGCCCAACCCTGTGCTGCTGTCCTTGCTTTCGTTCCAGGACATCTGTTCAGCCAAGATGTAGTAGCAACATTTTTGAAAGCATCTCCAGCCCATCGTGCAGCACATCCAGCCTTGCACTGAGTAATGATAGCAGGCCACAGAGTGAATCATAGAATCATAGAATCATAGAATCATTGAGGTTGGAAAAGACCTCTAAGATCATCAAGTCCAACCATCAACCCAACACCACCATGCCCACTAAACCATGTCCCTAAGTGCCGCATCTACATGTCTTTTAAATACCTCCAGGGATGGGGACTCAACCACTTCCCTGGGCAGCCTGTTCCAATGTTTAACCACTCTTTCAGTAAAGAAATTTTTCCTCACGTCCAATCTAAACCTCCCCTGGTGCAACTTGAGGCCATTTCCTCTCATCCTATCGCTTGTTACTTGGGAGAAGAGACCGACACCCACCTCGCTACAACCTCCTCTCAGGTAGTTGTAGAGAGCGATGAGGTCTCCCCTCAGCCTCCTCTTCTCCAGGCTAAACAACCCCAGTTCCCTCAGCCACTCCTCATAAGACTTGTTCTCCAGACCCCTCACCAGCCTCGTTGCCCTTCTCTGGACACGCTCCAGCACCTCGACGTCCTTCTTGTAGTGAGGGGCCCAAAACTGAACACAGTATTCGAGGTGCGGCCTCGCCAGTGCCGAGTACAGGGGCACGATCACTTCCCTACTCCTGCTGGCCACACTATTTCTGATACAGGCCAGGATGCCATTGGCCTTCTTGGCCGCCTGGGCACACTGCCAGCTCATGTTCAGCCGGCTGTCGACCAGCACCCCCAGGTCCTTTTCCGACAGGCAGCTTTCCAGCCACTCTTCCCCAAGCCTGTAGCGCTGCATGGGGTTGTTGTGCTACCAAGAGGA